TCACACATAGTGGTCTTACCCCGAAATTTTGGAAAGGTTTATACTAGTTTTACTATACCTTATTTTTGTTTCTGTTTCACACAACTTTTCTCCAAAGATTATATGCCAAGATATAGGCTTGCGAATTATTGCTAGTATATAATGAGTTCGCTCGTAAGCTTAGCTCCATTAAATACCAAAAAAATGAAGCTAATTACCCACAGCAAAGAATTTAGAAGTGGTTTATTAAAAATCACAGAAATGTCCTGTCTTCAGAATGCCACTCACATGCTATTGTTGCAACTTAATGTGAAACACTAAGTAGAAATCATTTGCTTCTTCTGCAGAATAGGGACAATTTCTTCCTATATCCTGGTAATGCTGTCTTGTAATAATCAGTTTACAGTTGAGAATGATTATAGTCATGGCAGCATAACATGTTGATCCAAAAGAAATGAAAACTTATGTTCATAGCAGCATACTTCATAATAGCCAAAAAGTGGAAATAATCTAAATGTCCATCAATCAATGAATGGATAAACAAAGTGTGATATAGCCACACAATGGAATATTATCCAGCCATAAAAACAAATAAAGTACCGACACACCCTACAACATGATGAACCTGGAACATGCTAAATGAAAGAAGCTAGACACAAACAGCCATGTATTGTATAATTCCATTTATATGAGATACCCAGAATAAGCAAATCTACAGAGACAGAAAGTAGATTAGAGGTTGCCAGGAGGCAACCACTTGCTGAGGCAAGAGGGGAATGACTGCTAATGGGAACAGAGTAAAAGGGCTTCTTTTGGGGGTGAGGAAAATGTTCTGGAATATGTAGTGGTGATGACTGTACAACTCTGTGAACACACTAAAAAACACCAAATTGTATACTTTCAGAGGATGAATTTTATGGTGTATGAAATATAACCCAATGAAGCTTGTTTTTTAAAAACCTAAGAAAAGAAAAAACTGCAAAGATAATGCAACTGATTCCACCAATGCATTATCCATTTGAATATTTTTTATTTGTATGAATTAATATCATCCACGTAACAATTTGATTTGATAAAAGATGAAAAACCAAAACTGTGGTGTGTTAGTTGAGGAGGGGTATGACAGTCTGCCCTCAATATATGAACCGTAACAGTAAAGAAAATTCTTTTTTTTTTTTAAGAGATGCAGGTCTCATGTTGCCCAGGCTGCATTTGAACTCCTGGGATCAAAAATCTTCCTGCCTCAGTCCCAAAGCAGCTGGGACTATAGGCTGTGCCACCATGTTCAGCTAGAAATTCATTTTTTCATTAATAAAAATTTAATTCACTAGGCAGCAGAAAAATTATCAACTTTATATTCAACTTACCTGGCCAACCTCAATTTTACAATTAAAATTTATGGCTCTTGTCAAAAACTTCATCTTAACCAAAATACCACTCTCCCAGAAAGCAAAGAACACTTACTGATCCAGATTTTTCAAACAGTGAAATTACTGGTATAATTCTGTAAAAGTGCCTTTTACAAATACAAGTAGCCTAAGTAAAAACGCCTGGTGTCTTTGGAAAGTTTATTAACAGATTAGTTTCAGCTTCAATTATGCTAAAAAGGTTGCTGAAGCTGGGGGGCGGGGGTAGTTTTTACCTAAACTACTTTCTAAAACTAAGTTCCAAGGGAACTGGAGGAAGAAGACATGTTACCACATAGAAGCAATGGATAACTCAAGATGGTTCATTGTCAAGAGACTATGTATTGGCTGGGTGTGGTGGCTCACACCTGTAATCCTAGCACTCTGGGAGGCCAAGATGGGTGGATTGTTTAAGCTCAGGAGTTGGAGACCAGCCTGAGCAAGAGTGAGACCCCATCTCTACTAAAAATACAAAGAAATTAATTGGCCAACTAAAAATACATATGAAAATTAGCTGGGCATGGTGCGCATGCCTGTAGTCCCAGCTACTCGGGAGGCTGAGGCAGTAGGATCGCTTGAGCCCAGGAGTTTGAGGTTGCTGTGAGCTAGGCTGATGCCACAGCACTCCAACCCCGGAAAACAGAGTGAGACTCTGTCTCAAAAAAAAAAAAAGAGACTATGTGTCCACAAAACACCTTACCTCCTACTCACACACACAAACAACAGAAACATACACACCTATTTTCCAAATACATCAGCATCCACTTATGTACTACATAATTACACGTATTATCCTCCTATGGACCAGCTTGTTTTTCTTCCAACAGTGTTGACAGGTAGCAGTGAATCACATATTTTCCTGTCTCATTTGCCTTATGATCAATGACACATGCTGCCGACATCTGTAGTTAAGAATGCAAACTGAGGCTACAGATTATCTTCTCCTTCCTATGATACTGAATGTTACCTATATCCAAATACGTACTGGCCAACCTCAGTGTCACTGGTGCCAAACTCAAAACCAAGTAACTGCCCCAGACCCAAATCTGAAGTAAATCACAGAATTGTGGTACTTATTTTTATTTGAATAATATGACATGATCATTATCAAAATGTTGAGCATCCTCTACAGGCAGAAAACTGTGCTGATAATAAATGTAAACATACTGACCAAATGTTTTTTTAAGAGACAGCCATAATTTCATATATTTTGTCTCACAAACTGTAGTCCCTGAAATGCCAATACTTAGAAGAGCACAAGTGCATATCTTAGAATACTTCTACAACCAAAAATATTTTGCCTGACCATGTATCCATATTTATAGTGCAGAATATATGGTCTCCACAGGGTATAAAGTTTATACCCAGTTCTCAGAGGTCTTAAGAATACAGTGGAGCACTTTGGAAGGCCAGCATGAGCAATAGTAAGATCTTATCTCTATAAAAAATTAGCCAGGTGTGGCGGCACACAGTGTGTAGTCCCAGCTACCAGGGAGGCTGAGGCAGAGAATCACCTGACCTTGGGAAACCGAGGTTGCAGAGAGCTATGATGACACAACTGCACTGCACTCCAGCCCAGGCAACAGAGCAAGACCTTGTCTCCAAAAAAAAATCTAGTTGAGAAGCAGAATGAAAACATAAAAATGTAAAATAAAAACGTAACCTGGACTGAAATCCAGGTTAGCATATGCTAAGAAAAGAAAGAAGAAAGTCTCTCACATGAGAAGAGTGAATAAGATCCCTTGGGGTTCAAGCAGTCTAAAAGGCTTCTCAAGAGACAGGACCTAACTGGGACCAGACTAAAGAGAGTATCCATTAATACAAGCGGAAGAGGATTTCAAACAGAAAGAATGACATAAAGAAAGGCAAAGAGGAGGAACTTCACAGGAACAACAAACAAGTTAGTTTGGCTAGAACCAAGGATTCACAAAGGGAAGAAATAAGAGTTAAGACCAGAATGGATCAGGGCCAGACTACAGAGAAACTTGAACGCCATACCAAGGAGCTTGAACTTTATTTTACACGTATTAAAGAGTTTTCTGTCTTTACGTTGTGATGTGAGAAGGTGATAGTGTTCATATGCACAAGACATTATTTATCGAAAGCATTAAGTGGAGCACAAATAATGCAAATGAAATATCACATCACTGGGAGGAAAAATGTTCAAAGCCCAGATACAAGAAGGTATTATCAGGGGAGAGAGGTGCAAGCATTAACTGCTCAAATAATAAGACTGAATCAAGTTAAATAAAAAGTTCTGTGGTCTACTTTTGCAACTGCTATTTGTTAAAAGTTTACATTTGTCATAAAAGCAATATAAATAAAAGCTCATGGAATAGCTCTCACTATATCAATTACACATATGAAGCAATTTACTTCAAACATTGTACAACTGGATCATGAGTTCCAAAACTACGCTAATCCTCAGACTTTAAATGTGGTATGCTATAACCCCTATCAGTGTACAGATTTGGATCAAGGCCATAAGCTTAAAATATATTACCACGAATGAGTTCACCATACTAACCCAAGCACATTTCAAGAGTAAATAAATAAGTGTACCAATGCTCCGAGGCATTAATAAAAAGAATTGAAACAGCAAGAGAAATTGTAAAATTCCCATCACCCTCCTCAAAAGAGTAAAATGTGCCATTACTATCCTACTACCTCTTAACCCCCCTACCAGCCCAATAAAAACACCGTTATGAAATTGTAGAATAAGGAGACTGCCTATATCTTGAGGGCCAAAAGTCAAGAGGAAGCAGTATTCTGAATTATTCGTTTAATTCAAAAGAATAATACCCAGAAGATGAGATCCAGCTTTATTTTTCCCAAACATAGTCTAGATGATTTTCCCAAGGCCTTTGGCACAAGCCAGGATCAAAATTCCTTATGGTTTCCCTGGCTTATGGTTTATACACTGAGTCATCCATGTTTGATCAAAACACGGGTACTCTGGAGGTTGCCCAAGTGATAAAGAAGTCAACTGAAACAGAGACCACAAGTGGAGAAACCACTCATTATATAACATCCCCAAAAGTTAAAGATTTCTCTTCAACTGTGTTCCTAAAACAGTATGTTTGTACATTAGATTTATTAACAACATCATAGACTGATTATACGGTGAGACCAAAACACTGGAAAGAGGCGGCGCTTAACCTGATAGTCTATGGAGTTACAGAAAAGGGACTCAACTGAGTTAAATACAAAATTCTCAACAAGAGAGTTTCAAAACACCAATTTATCTCAAGGATAATGAGCCAGTTCAAACTTCCAGGCTTAACCTAAACTGCCAGTCCTTGTGTTTAATGCAAGTATTCATTACAGTTCTTTTGTCTGTGAAATGACCCACACCAAACCACAGCAGAGAAAATAGCAGACACTAGCACTGAACAATCGTTGCTGCGAGGAGAGGTGGATAATCTTTCCACTAGTTGCAGCTCCTCGTCCCCACCAGCCCCATCGCCCCCACCTTTATTTTCTCAGAAATGGCAACACTGAAGGCCACCGCAGGAGGCCGAGGGACCGAAATACAAGTTTGGAGACCAGCACCAACTTGTGGCGATGGACCCAAGTATTTACGGCCTATCGCAGTGGGAGCACAACCCCACTCACCGACTCGTATCTGGCAGGAAAAGAAGTTGGGGGTCAACCTGGAGGAAGAGAGGTGGCAGGGCCGGCCCGCGTCCAGCCGAGGACAGCCGACGGTCGGTAAACAGGCGGGCGGACCCACCCTCCCACAGCCGCCGGGCCTGTCCCCGCACCCGAGCGCCCAAGATGGAAGCGCGGCCGGCGGCGGCCCCGGGGCCCCTGCTTGCCCTCCCCTCGCCTGCAGCGCTGCTGCCCCCGAGGACGCCGGGCGGGCGGGCGGCCCGGGAGGCCCGGCGGCCTGGGCGCCGCCTGGGAGCGAGGGGGCGGCAGGCCGCGGAAGGGCCGCGCGGGGCTGCGGCGGGGCGCCCCGGTCCAGTTACCTGGCGGCGGCGGCGGCTCCTCTCCAGCTCCTGTCCTGCTCTCCTCCCGCGTCCGACGCTCGGCGCCCGGGGCGCGGGCGGCGGGCGACTGCCCGCACAGCCCGCGGCGACGAGCGGAGCCCGCCCTCTCCGCCTCCTCCTCGCCGCCGCCGCCCCGCTGCTGCCGCCTCCGCCCCTCTTCCTCAGTCAGACATGGTCTCGCGGGCCCGCGCGCGGCTCCCGGCTCTCGGAGGCGGGGGCGGAGGGCGGAGAGGAGGCGCGGAGGCGGAGGCGTCGGGGGCGGGAGATGGGGGGCGGCCGCGGGCGCTGCGGACTCTTAATGGCGGAGACTGAGGGACCGGAGCCAAATCAGCCCGCGCGAGCTGCACAACGTCAAGGCCGGCACCCCGCCGCTCACCGCCCTGTCATTGGGGCCCGACCGCCCAGCGGGTGCATCCAATCGGGGAGAAGTGGGCGGCCGCCTCTTCCGGGGCGCAAGGGGCGCGGGCCCAGCAAGGGTGACGATCACCCCCCCGAGCGCGCGGCCCTGATTCTGAGGCGGCTGCGCGCGAATCTGCTGGCAGCTCCTGGGTGCGCGCCCCGCGCGGGTTTGCCGGCGCGAGTTGCAGGTGGGATTGTGGCTGGCTGACGGCCGGGGAGCCGTCCTCGGGCGCGCGGGTGCTCTGGAGCACGCACCATGCACTCTGCACCAGGCGGTTTAAGTCAGGGCCCCCAAGCATGCTCATCTTCCTAAGTGAACACTCAGTAACATTAGATGGCTGGCGTTCACTTGATTCTTAAGCAGTTTCAAGCTCTTGAATGAGACAACGGGGAAGACAAACTGCCCGTTGGCTAGTGCCTTTGCTGATACACCAGAAATACGATAAGAATCAAAATCACCCAATGTCTGTTTTTTTTCACTCCTGCCTTACTCGGCGGCTGTTTGTATATTGTCAACCTCTCATCCATTTAGTACACGTTAAGCATGCATACATGCATGATGAAAAGCCCCTGGCAGATCTTGCCGTGGCTCTCCTCACTACTTCTAGCTCTAGTCTTGAGTAATTCCAGCTATCTCGATGACTGCCTTTTCTGTAAATTGGAAATAAGCTTACCTGTGTTAGGCATAGGATAAGTTACAGCTGTGGAAAAAATACTATGAGACTCCCAGAGTCAAAGTTTCTAAATAGATTATTTTTGTGGTGATGCATTTTGTGTCTTTCTTTTTGTACTATAAAAAACCAATAGCTAAATAAACCCCCATGACTGGTGCAAATTTTTCTGCTAGGAGACTTTTTATTTTCCCAGTGGGACTTCACTTGCATTTTTCATACTTAAAATTTTATTTCAAGAATTTGAAAGACTATAAACACAGCACAAGTCTTTAAAAGTTGTAAGAAAACTATAGCACAGCCAAAGGCATTAGCAGTTGTATGAGACACTTCAGTTCAACAGGAGGACCATTATGCAGGCAGTTTAATCAGTTTTTAAAATTTGAATGGGCTTCATTTAGTAAAACTATTCATGGTATTCGAGTTTCTCTTTGCATAAATATAGTGAAAATGGTGTCCACAGCTTCACTATAGCAACAAAGAATAATCGCTATACTTTATATAGCTTCTCTCACCAAAACGTATTTTGCAATGTTGGTATATTTATCCTCATAGCATTCCTATGATTTAGACGTTTTCAACAATCCTCATCTTCCCTGAACAACTTATTTGCTTAAGGACTTGTCAATAAATTGAGTTCAAACTGGAGCAATCTTTTACCTACAAAACCTAACACCTTCTCAAAATATAACACAATTGTAGATCAAGTTAAACACCATGTTATTATGTAAAAACAATGTTCAACAACATTTCACTTTGAGAAAATATTTTATTTTAGAGCTTCTGAATACTTCCAGCTTCCCCTTCCTGAATCAAGACTGCAGAGCATCTCACCTACAAACACAGAGTGTGGTGTGTGGTATGTGTCAGGGTTTTATTCTGTTGCCCAGGCTGGAGTGCAGTGGCAGATGCATACTACCTTATGCGGCCTTGAACTTCTTGGGCTCAAGGGATTCTGATGCCTCAGCCTCCAGAGTAGCTGAGGCTACAGGCATGTGCCACCACAACTGACTACTTTTTAAAGTATAAGTTATTTTTATTTTTAGGAGATGCGGTCTTGCTATGTTCCCCAGGCTGGTCTCAAATTCCTGACCTCAAGGCATCCTCTCTCCTCAGCCTCCAGAGTTTTAGGATTACAGGCTTGAACTGCAGAGCCTGGCTCCAGAGCAAGGTGTTTTTGTTTAGCTTGAGTTGTAGTTTATTTCATTAAGGGAAAGGGATATAGTTTGGGTAAAGTTTATTAAAATCTTTATTCTTTACTTTAGTAAATGCTTAGTGAATATCTACCATGTGCCAAGAAATAAGAAGTGCACAAAGATAAGACACATCTTAGTTGAGGAAACTACAGCATAGAAAAAAGGGTAAGACAAAAATAACCCTAATTATAATGTAAGGTGGAATGTGCTAAGTAAATTCAAGGGAAATTATCTTGTAATTGAGAAGAAGAGCAAATCCAAAAATGACTCTGTGTTAAAGCCAAAAAGACACTTGATATCAGTCTAGTGGTTTTCAGCCCTAGCTACACATTAGAATCACCTGAAGAGCTTTTTAAAAATAGGGACGTCTGGGCCGCACCCCAGACACACTGAAACAGCCCTGAGGAGGAAGGCTTGGGCACGAAGATGTTTCAAGCACACTCTCCAGGTGACTGTGATGTGCAGCCAGGATTGGGAACTACTGATATAGTAGCCTCAAGCCCCTAAAGTGTGCAGATGTGAAAACTAATGCCTAGAGCTGTTAGGTGACTTACCTAGAGCCAGGCCAACAAAGTCTGGAATCAGAACACAGAGCTCTCAATCCCCAGTCAAATGTTCTTTCTGTTACACCATAGTTGAGTAAAAAAATACATCAACATAAATTCATACCTAACTGGTACAGTGTACACTATCTGGATGATGAGCACACTTATAACTTTGACTCAAATGATACTAAAGCAACTTATGTAACCAAAACATTTGTAACCCTATAATATTCTGTAATAAATATTTTAAAAATGGAAAAAAAAATACGTCAACAAATTCAGTAGATAGCATTGTCACAGGGAACTGATTTTTGCTCTTTGGAACAGAGATTCTACTTATATATATTTGGATGTAGAGGAATAGTTCATTTGGGAAAAAGTAGCCACTGTTTTTGGGGGCCATAAATTTTTTTTCTTAGAACTCCCATATTAAAGTGTAGAGACAGTATAATTTTGTGGACAGTTTTGGCTTTTATTTCAGTTGTCTCCCAAACTATCTATAGAAGATATAATTTCATTTTGCTTTTTCTGCCATATTGTGGAGGGTTTGAATGCAAAATTGAGGCTCTGTAGTTCCATTACTAGTAGAAAGCCATGGAAAGGTTTGAGCAGGAAGGTGCCAGTATTGGAGCTAAACGCCTTCACCTGGAATGTCTGTGACAATTGGAAGATAAGGACCTAAAACCAAAGTAGCTGTGGGAACGGAAAGGAGTGGGAGTGAAATAGGGAACAGCAAGTCCTTAGGGTCTGCCAGAAGAATCAAACGTCAGAAACTCCAACCGATGGCTGTATGCTCTGCAGCAGGACACACAGGACAGAAACTGGGTCAGAAGATGTTGAGCCCTGGATCAGGTCTGTTGAGATCCAGGGCTCAGGAGGAAATAGGAGGGAGGATGGGGAGAGGGAGCGGGAACTATATGCTGGTATAAAATATGATAGGCTGGAGATGATCATCTCCAGGGAATTATCTGTGTAGAAATGACCATGGAAGCCACAGGAGTGGGAAAGAAAAACCACCAAAGGAGAAAAAGACAGTGGTAAGAAAGATAGAAGCAGAACATGGGGTCGTACAGTGTTCTGGAAGCTGAGAATTGACAGTACATTCTTTCACAATTTCTACATCACTGAATGGCTTCCCTTTTTTCCCCAAGTATATAAGCTACTTTATAAGTTGCTTCAATGGCATTATTTCCAGGTCTTGTTGCTGCTTGAAAGAATTGTCTTTGCTTTTGTTTTTCATCTTTTAATTTCTGCAATACAACCTTTTGTGACTCTCCCTCTAATTTAAAATATTAGTGTCATAATTTATAATTTATTTAAAATATGAGTGTCATAATGCTGATGAGCATTGAATTTTTTTAATGTTGATATTGCAGTGTCACAAAGCAAGCAAATCATCTTTAGCAGAAAGAAGACAATGTTGCAATTCCCAATCCTCATTTAAAAAAATCTGTTCTCTCCCTTCAGCATTCTCTTGGTCTTCTTTGACATGATGGGCTGTTAAATAGACAGAATTAAAAAATAGTGTCGAGCTGTGGAACTATTGACAAATTCCACTTCAAACAGAAACACAGCACACCATTGTCAAAAGCTGATAACAGACTGGCATACTCAATTCCCATAAACCCTTACTAACCAGCCTCTTGGAGTAGTGGTGCCAGTCAGGTGGGGGAAGTTATAACTGAATCATGAGCATAGCGGCTGTCAATTTAGCCCTTATGGCTCACTAATGTTCTAATTGTGCCACTCAATCTGGGAGGATTATTTCATTGAACCCTATTTTATTCTTTGGTATTTTAAATAAGTTCATTTAAAAAATAAAATAAAAATATGAAATATGAACAAAAAGAATTTGTTCTATACAATTTAGGTTCAGTCAAAAGGCCACATTTAAGGACCTAGAAGTCCACATGTGGCTTTAAGGCCATAGGTTCCCCACCCT